AAAAAAAAAACTAATGATAGACTTTACACCATTTGTAAATAAATTTGTTCTTCTTGATATTAGGAACTTGATATTAGTAAGCCAAGACCAGAGAGGGAGATTGGTCATTTTAATACTGACTGATGCCATTTGCAACCTAACCAATTTGCATAATTTTATTTATTATTATCATCTTTCTTTTTTTACACTGTCACTCTCAGGATATATTACTATTATTTTTTGAGATAAAATTTCACTCTTGTCACCCAGGGCTGGAGTGCAGTGGGGTGATCTTGGCTCACTGCAACCTCCGCCTCCCAAGTTCAAGTGATTCTCCTGCCTCAGCCTTTCAAGTAGCTGGGATTACAGGCGAGTTCCACCATGCCCAGCTAATTTTTGTATTTTTAGTAGAGACAGGGTTTCTCCTTGTTGGATAGGCTGGTCTCAAACTCCTGACTTCAGGTGATCCACACGCCTTGGCCACCCGAACTGCTGGGATTACAGGTGTGAGCCACCGTGCCGGGACCAATTTGCCTAATTTTAAACAAGCCATGGTCCTCCAGCTCTACTGCATGTATAGAATGAAATATTTATTAAAAGTGCTGGTGTGGCCAGGCGCAGAGAAAAATGGCTGTAATCCCAGCTACTTCAGAGGCTGAGGTGGAAGAATCGCTTGAACCTGGGAGATGCAGGTTGCAGTGAGCCAAGATTGCACCGCTGCACTCCAGCCTGGGCAACAGAGTGGGACTCCATCTCAACAACAGCAGCAGCCAAAAAAAAAAAAAAAAAAAAAAAAAAAAAAAAAAAAAAAAAAAAAAAGAAGAAGAAGAAGAGAAGAAGAAGAAAAGGAGGAGGAGGAAGAGAGAGGAGGAGGAGGGAGGAGGGAGGAGGGAGGAGGAGGAGGAAGAAGGAAGAAGTAGTGCTGGTGCATCTCAACAGGAATCCAGCACAAAATTGTCTGGCTTAAAATTCTAGTACGAGAGATTTGCTTAAAGTACCAAACTAAGGATATTGCCTGCCTCAAATTCTCTAAGAAAAAGGTAGAAGGTGTATATTAAACAAACAAAACTAGAGACCATGTAAATAAAGGGCTTTTTTTTGGGACAGGGTCTCACTCTGTCATCCAGGCTGGTGTGTGATGATGGCTCATTGCAGCCTCCACCTCCTGGGCTTGAGCAACCCTCCCATCTCAGCCTCCTGAGTACAGGGACCACAGGATGCATCACCATGCCTGGCTAGTCCAAAAAAAATTTTTTTTGTAGAGATGAGATCTCAGGCTGGTCTTGAATTTTTGGGTTTAAGCAATACTCCCACTTCAGCCTCACAAAGTACTGTGATTACAGGTGGGAGCCACCCCACCAGGCCAGACTTTTTATATTAAATGATTGTTCTGCATCAGACTCAAATTGTATTACAGGGAGACCCCACAGCAGTGGTTCTTAAATCTGAGCTTTTTGGTGTCTATAACCTACCTGAATTGTAACAAAATTTTATAAACATACACTTTTTTTTTTTTTTT